AACGGCCTTGAAACATCATCATTGAGTTAACTGGCACCCGGGGATACATAAATATTTGGTTCTACTTGTGGACTTCCATCATCTGGACTCTAGGACCAAACGTCCCAGTTCCCTCACCATTTATGGTTGGGATGATACTGGCCTTGTGACGAACCAATTCCTGTTCCGCGCGATTTTCTGCGCGACGACAGTGAGGGGTCCTAAGCTGGGAAGGTTAGGCCAATTACGGGAGATGGGATCCAATGGGAAAATTGCATCGGTGTCTTTGTTTGTTCTTCTTTTTACGTCGCTTCTTTTCGGATGGCTGGGGCCAGGGCTGGGCAAGTCCCGAGATGGTCGATCGAGCGGCTGGCGCGCCGACGGAGGCGAGATTAATAATGGTTGATGTCGCTTCTTTCTTGTTCTGCTGTCGGACTTTCGGCGCGGTGATCACGCGGGAGTTTTGCTTCTTTCTTTCTGAAATTCTTTTTCGAATCTTGTCGAGCCCTCGATGGCTCTCGGAATTTCAGACTTTCTTTTCGGGATTTGTGCTTTAATAAAGTTTTTTTTTGCATTTTTGCGTTAAATAGGAATTTAGGAATTCGAAATTTTCTTTGCCGCACGGTGCTTTTTGCTCGTGCGTTTCTTTTTGCGGCTGCAACGGAGCTCTGATTAGTCGGCGCCCTTAATCTTGAGTGTAACTGTAATTTTGGGCGGGGCGCCCTTGTAACTGTATCTCTCTTCTTGAGATTCGTTTTTCGCGCCCGCTCTCTTCTTTGTTGTGTCTAGTTGGCCCGCGGGCTGCATGATCGGATCGATGTGTGGAGAGTGGGTACGTCCCCCACGCCGCGATTTGGCCATGCAAAACGTAGGCACCCCCTCCCCTTCTCTCCTTCTAAATCCTTGCAATTCCGTGTTCTTTGTGCATGCATGCACGCTATAAATTTCGGCTGCGCGATTAGATAGCTCTCTTAAACATTTGCTGGAAGCTCAGGGTAGCATGATCAGTGAGGGTCGGCTCACGAGCGAAGTAAGAGGTGAGTTGAAGTGGGAGTTGGGCAATGCGACGAGCTGGTGCTGAATGTGCGGGGTTGACACGCGGGGCTACGACGGACTGTAGCGCGTGGGCGAACCTAACGGGCACAGGAGGACTAAGCGGGGTGACAACTTCGTGGGTTGGTGCGTGACGATGGACTGTTCGCATAGGGGGGGGAGAGAGAGAGAGAGAGAGAGAGAGAGAGAGAGAGAGAGAGAGAGAGAGAGAGAGAGAGAGATGGGAGAAAGAGAGGGAGGGAGAGAGAGAGAGAGAGAGAGAGAGAGAGAGAGAGAGAGAGAGAGAGAGAGAGAGAGAGATGGACGTGGAGTTGTATTTTTCTTTGTGCTTCTCAATCTTTTATATAAGTTTTGATTTCGGTTCGGGCAATTCGCTCTTATTTTCCTTCGACATCTTTGTCTTAACGTTGGCCCTTGTATGGTATCGTACTCGGTCTCGATCCTTCCTCTTTTATGTATATTGGATGGACGAGTCCTGGTGGAATGATATGCTTGTCGTTTTGCCTAATCATCATCGTTGCTTGCCGCTTTGATTTGTTGTCGTCACGATAAGAGTTTGATGTTGTTGCGGTGTGTAATGTGTGCGATGTCATTTTGCATGATCGGAAATGATTGTTTGCGGGATCACGGAATGATTAGATGATTGAGTGATTATCTATGCCCCGTGGCAATTTTGCATATAGGACTGAACCCTCACTTTTGCAAGAAAATCAGCCAACAGGCCCGTGTATGATCGAACACCTTTGTGCGCACGTGTAAGTGCGATCTGATCAGCACGGCCTACACGTGTCCACACGCGGGCGATTCGCGATCACTGATGAACTGGGCACCTCCAGTATCGGGATAAGTGCAGAATTCCCCTTTTTCGAGAATTTGAGCCGGTAGGAATTTCCACCACCATACTCGAAAATTCCCTTGTCAATCGAAGCACGATCAGATCCGTGCGGAGGTTTCCCCCTACGCTGCAACTAGTAATCCGCCGGAATGACAAGATGTCGTACACTGCAGACCGGAAGAGATTGCGGAACCCAGAGTACCGAGAATACTGGGAGGGAGAACAGCTTAGGCTGCGAGGAAATTTGAAAAATCCGGAATTCCCCTGTCTAACGGAGAACGACCGACTGTGTCCCAGGGACTTCCACCGCGCCATAAGCAACGACCCGAGGGGTCCCGACTACCCGACTACTTATAACACACAATATTTCATATCCCCCGGCTTCATCGTTATCGTTACCAATTTCCCTCCCTTCCATGTCCTCCTCCCATACCACCAACTCACGGTGGTACCGTGGAATTCCGTAGCCCCGTATTGGCCCCACACGCCGTGCAGAAATTGCAGACGACGCGGCAACCGCCGAGCCTCTGGAATTACGGAGCCTAACCATAACCCGCGACATCAATCGCCACGTGTCCACACCCGAAGGTTCGACCCATAGAAATCGCAACCCTCACGAGCGGACTTCTCCCGAACCGCCGTCACTAGAACGGGCGGATCGGACGGCCCAGGATGCACCGCGCATGCCATCTGCCTTATGCTGCACGACATCGACCGCCATCACACCGAAAGCAACCCGTCCTTTAGCCTAATTGCACCTATGCCCCTGAAACCTTGCCACAGGAGATCTCAGTTCTGACCTGGGACTCCACCCCCAATTTCCCAAAAATCCTTGGCACACCCCTTTTCGCACTTCCAGGCCCACATCCCACTCCGATCAGGAAGTCGCGCCGGGCGTGAGGTTGGGCGTCACAGCCTACGTGGAGTGACTGAAGTGTTGATAACAAAAAGCCCCTATGTTGGAAACAGCGGCCCAAGTTTCAACTGAATGTCAAACTCAGGCAGCGACTGAAGCGTTAAAAGTGCTGTTTGGAATGCATTCCCAAACTTGTTTTGTGACCGCCGACTACTTACCCCAAGGGAAAATTTTGGTCCCCCAGACATCTAAGCTATACTCGCAGGCCCTGCGGCAATGGTTGAAAATTGTGAAATAATCCTTGCATCTCTTGGGCCGGACATCTGCGTAGTATGCCCATACTCGTAGCCATTCCGCTTTTCTAGATGGCTGGCACTTGGCGACAGGCTGCACATGGAGTGCTGCGGGCCCAACCATAGGAAGGCCAGGCCAATGCCTTAAAGTTCCACCACTCTCTGACAGGTGCCTGGAGAAAACATTGCAGGTTGGAGGGACTGTGAGTGTAAGCACAAATGAACACCTCTTTGAGGGGCAAAATACAAAAATTCCCATTTAGTAATTAGCAGAAGCCTTTTTTTTTTTTTTTTTTTTTCCTTTTTTCCCAACAACCCCCTCCGGTAGTGGTGCTGGTAAGAGCAGACACCGCTAGCACCTCGGGCCTGGTGCATTGCAGGCGAATGTAAGAGCCTGTGAGTAGGTAAGGGGTTCAAATAGTTGAGGGGCTACCATTCGTTTGCGGAAGGAAACAGGCGAAGAAACAGGATGACGAAAAAAGTGCAAAAAAAAAAAAGAAAAAAAGAAAAAAGAAAAAAGAAAAAAGAAAAAAAGTGCAAAATGGCTAATTCCAAGTTCGCAGAGAGGGGAATACCCCTGTCAGAATGCTCTTCATTATCTGCTAATCTGCACACGGTATGCACTTGGCCCATTTCTTGTTCATGTTCATTTGGAGAAGGACCTTGAGGTCCAAGGTGATTTTTTTGAGAAGGAAGTCGCACGTATTTTCGAGTTTAGAGAGAAGGAAACTACCGCCATTGGGCCTCGCTCGGCTACTCACCAAATGTGCAAAATGAAAATGAATCTTTCGCTAGGACATGGGAAGTTACATCGCCATATATTTTGCCTTTTGTGCATGTGGCGAGCGGTGGAGCGAGGCCCATTATATACCACCAGAGATTTGCCAAGCCGACTGGGCCCAGGTCGTGTGCACAGCTTTCTCTGCGTATGGCTCTGCAGGCTCTCTTTACAGCCTCAGCCATGCGGTCCGCTGTTGGTTCGTTAGAGCGCCCTTGAACAGCGGGACCCGCTTCGGTAGGCAGCCTCGGTAAAAGTAATCAACGGGAGCGTGAATCGATCAGTCGCCGGCATCTCTTCTCTTGTTGCACGCGAAGCTTCCCCCCCCGCCTCTGTTTGTTTTTCTCGATTTGTGCGTGTCGTCGTTGCGGGAAGGTTTTTTGCCCACCTTGTTTTCATCGATCTCTGTCAGGCAGAGCAAGTACTCACTTCTCTCTTGTCTGCAGCTGAGGGTCATCAGTCTGTGGCTCTGCGGTGATCTGCCGGAAGCCGGCGGCGCAGTGATCACTCGGTTGCGGGTGTCCAACGATATTCTAGTTTATTTATATGCGCACTTTCTTTGCGGGGCTTGGCTGTGTGATACGCTGCGCGGGCCTCAGATAAAACACTGCGGGAATTTTACTTCCAGCAAATTGAAGTCGAGGGCGGAAAAGAAGGTTGATCTTCAAGAAAATGGATTATCTGATAAGTGCCCGTACGTATCGGAAGCGTTAATAAGTCGGCTCTCGTATCAGCATCCCGTCGAGGCGCCGGCGCGGTCTCGATTTCAGCGTGTCATGGAAGACGGGGAAACGAGTAAGGAGGAAAAAAAAAAATGACGTGAGAAAAACAGGGGAAGCGGGGGCGAAAAGGAGAGCTCCAGCAGTAGTAGTAGTGGTGTCTGCCTCGCGCAAGCATAAACGGCGGTACGGCCATTATTTCCCAAGCTGTGGCATTTTTGGCAATCAAGGCCACGACTGTGGCACATTTGACTGTCACCCTCCTATTTTCTTTGGTAATTGCCTTGCTCGACGGGCGCCACTCCGGAACGGGGCGAAAGCGAGAGGGCGAGGTGTGTGTTGTCCAGTCGATGACCAGTGTCGGCGACGGGAACTTCGTTGTCGCGCTTGTCTGTGGGGAGACGGTGGGCGGGGAGAAGCAGTGCGGTGTTGGCGGTGGCGCGGCCGGCGCATCAGCAGCGTGCCAGGACAAGCTTTGGGCATGGATGCCTAGGCCCCTGTGACGGTAGTTTCATGCATGATGTGACCGTCTTTCCGTCTTCTTCGCGGCGCCATGTTCAGACGGTCTATTGACGCCAAAGCTCACCATACAGCGTCCTGTAAGTCTTACACGCGGTAGCGGTGCGAGGGCGTCGAAAAGAGGGTTTCTTCACACGCCGCCTCTCTTGCTCGTCCTTCACCCTCGTCGACGGCAAAGAACGTCGGCGCGTGGGCTCTTGAGTAGGCGTTGGGGGCAGGCGTTCGTTCAATCACCGGCCCTGGCGCGGTGGGTGGCAGGGAAGCCGCCTGAAAGGGAAGACCGGGAGAAAATAAAGGGAATACAGGCGTGGGGGGGGGGGGGGGGGGGGGAACGGGGGAGAAGGCGCAGGCAGGCTCGTCAGCGCATCTTCTCCGCGGCACGACACTGCGCTGTGTCACCATGGAGGCCGAGAGCGGGTAGGGAAAGACTGGTGCGTGCGTCGTGCTTGCTTTTCGGAATGGGTAGCAGGGGTAGTCATCGCAGAGAAAGACTGAAGTGTATAGTTGAGCCGCGGTAGTTCTGCAACGTGGATGTGCCGTCCTACGATCTTTCTTGCTCCTTTTGCGGCGACGTCTATCGTTGCGTGGCGGGCTAATGGGGCCAGCGAGGTGGTAGCTGGGGTGATTGGGGTAAGGGAAGAGTCGCAGAGTGGACGAACCTCGGCAGCTATCTGTAGGTGTTTCTGAAACTTCGGCGCGGAGTCGGCGACTTTCGGTTCGGCTGGGGTCGGCTTGTTTCGGTTCGGAAGTCGCCGACGGGGAAGAGGCGAAGGGCAGGAGGCGAAGGGGTAGCTGCAGCTGGTTGTGCCGTCTTCTTCTTCGGCTATCCCTGGGGCGCGGTGGAGTATCCAAGGAGAAGGGAAGCCGGGAAGGGCAAGGCGGAACCCAGGCGTGATGCTAGTGTGACGGGGAGGACCGCGCCGCGCGGCGCCGCGCGGGCCGTAGTGGAGCCGCTGCTCTACTGTGCCGCGCTATAATTCCAAGCCTTCGGATTGGTTACCCCTGGCCGTACGCCCCCCCTTTTTCGTCTGCAGCCATGTCCTCTCTCAGTCGAGAGTTGGTTTTCCTCATACTCCAGTTTCTGGACGAGGAGAAGTTCAAGGAAACCGTCCACAAGTAAGCGCGCTTAGCTGGTTGCCTCTGGTCGTGGAGTGTGCGACGGGTTGCGTTCTCTGGATGAGTCATTCGTTTCGCAGACGAAAATGATGAGGTCGCGGGAAAAAGGATAAGCGTCGAGAGGGCGCTCGATTGAGGGGAGACCAGAAGAGAGCGGGACAAGGGGAGGAGACGGGTAGAAGAGGGTTGTGTGAGAGATGTGTAGGAGAGGGGCGTGCGATGTGTTTGGGTGTGAGGGAGGGGAAAGGGTATGGAAGGTAGGGGAAGAAGGCTCTAAGTGAGAGAGGCGTAGAGGAATACGTGTGTGTGAGACAGTTAGTGGAAGGGCCTGCTTGTGTGTGCGTGTGGGCAAACACACACGCACACACAGAGTCACACACACACAGAGAGAGAGAGAGAGAGAGAGAGAGAGAGAGAGAGAGAGAGAGAGAGAGAGAGAGAGGGTGTCAGAGCTGTCTGTGCGGGAGAGTGCCCGGATTAGAGAAAAATGTGTATTTATTAGAGGGGAAGCGGGGAGCATAGCGAAGAGAGAAGGGAAACATGAGCGTGTGTGTGTGTGTGTGTGTGTGTGTGTGTGATGGAATAATACAAAGATGCGTGTATCATGCGCGTGTCTGTGTCTTTGCCGTGGGGGAATGGTGCTTGCTTGTGTGTTAGAGAGATGTGTGCTGAGAGAAGAAAGGCGTGTGGGGGAAGTGGTGTATTGGTCGTGTGGGGAAGGAGGAGGGTGTGTGTGCAGAAAAGGGTGTTTGTGTGAGAGAGGAGTGAGAAATAAGTGGTGAGCGGGAAGAGGGGCAGCAGATGTTGGGTGGAGTAGAGAATACGAAGCAAGAGGAAGGAAACAGAAAGGCAAAAGGGGAAAAGGTTATGGAACAGCTCGGTAAAGACAAAAGGAAAGGCAGTGGGAATTGTTGAAATCGAGAAGTGAGGCCGGAGGTGACAAGCCGGCGCACTCACACGAGAAAGGGTATGACGGCTTGTGGGATGAAATTGTGGTTAATACTCTCTCTCAAGGAAGGTTAAGAATTGGTTGTTTGTGTATTTGTCTCTTTGGTGTTTGCTGTTGTGTTTGGCAGATTGGAGCAAGAGTCCGGTTTCTACTTTAACATGAAGTACTTTGAAGACCAAGTATTGGCAGGAGAATGGGAAGAAGTGGAACGTTATCTTCATGGGTTTACCAACGTTCACGAGAACCGCTACTCTATGAAGATTTTCTTCGAGATACGGAAGCAGAAGTATCTTGAAGCTTTGGACAAGTGAGTTGAGAAAATAAATATCGTGAATGATAACTTCCCTATCTCAGAGAGAGATCGAATAAGGCGAATCCGCGCAACAGAATGTCTGCTGCTGCGTGGATGAAAAAGGGGGATGGAAAGTGTGTGGGCTCAAGGAAAGTGTCATGTGAAGAATCCCATTGGTCTAGGCATTTTCGACGTCCAGTTTTGTCTTTGAATAACCTGCTTTTGCTTTTGTTGGGTGTGTATGTCGCCTGTCTTGTTGAAGTCCACCCACTGCTCCAATCATCGCGTGGAAGACTGACTATGGAAGGGACCGCTTAACTGCGCAAACAAGAATGGATCCACTGAGATCCGAATGAGTCCGTGCACGTAAATCTTGCTATGGTGTGCTCGCCCTTCACTCTCCCGTAATGCCCGGCCGAAACGGCGTGTATCAGATCGAACGGGTTGTGAATCCTGCTTCGTTCATCCTCGAACCCTCCTCCTTGGATTCAATGGATGATTGATTGCCTGTGTGGACCTGACAGGCAATGGGAACCACTGAGGGAACCATTCGATGGATGATTCATTGCCTGTTGTGTTTCCTGGTTGTTGATGTCTGATGTCGGTTGCATGTCTAATGGGAAGCCTCGTTATTACTCGCTTACCCTTAATGAAATCCTAACATTTAAGAGCGTCAAGTGAAAAATGATGATCGGGCGATCAGGTAGGGAAGAGAGAGAGAGAGAGAGAGAGAGAGAGAGGATCATCTAATTGTTCATAAAGAATGAGACGTCTGTCATGTTGACGGTGACAGGATCATTGTTCAAAATCGTATGAACGCCGTTTTCATGGACGGACGAGGGACTGAGAAGAAAAGTAAGAAAGACGCGTTCTTGGTGCACGCCGTGGTTGATATGTAGCAAATTATGAGAACATGTGACACGGTCATTGTGTGATCGATGGTGAATGGGTGTTTAAATGGCATTGATGATTGGAGTCTGCATTTGCAATCATTCAAAAGAAAAATGAGGGAAAGGGGAGAGGTTCGAGGTGGCAAGAGTAAAGGAGTCGGTGCGTGGAATTTGAAAGAGAGCCGTTGCCTGTGGACCTTCGCTGTGACGGTGGGCTGCGCATGCATGCATAGGGCGTGGCTGAGGAGGGAAGGAGATTAGGAAGAGTTGAGTAAGGGACGTGGAGATTCAGTAGGATGGGGAAGAGAGGGATGGAGATTGAGGGTGGAGGCAGGGGAAGTGAACGGAAGGGGGGACAAGGAGGGAGACAGGGAGAGAGCAAGACGGGGCAGCCAGGGTTTGAAACGCATAGCCCTTCGGAGAATGCAGTCTATGGCAGGAAAAAAGGGATGGCGAGATACAGAGACAGGGAAGTACCCAAGGGGAAGGAGGGAGGGGAGACGAGGGTGGGAGGGGGTGGAGGGAGGGAGTCGCTAAAGAGGAAAAGGGAAGGCGAGTGTAAATGAGGGCTTGGGTGCAGCAGAGGGGGACGGAGAAGTGAATTTATAGCGCGAGTGGAGTAGAGAGAGAGGGAGAGAGAGAGAGAGAATGGATGGATGAATAGATAGATGGATAGATGGAAAAAAGTTAATATGACAGACTGATAGGCAGAAGCAGACAAGTACAGCGGTAGACATGAGCTAGGAGTGTGTGGAGGACATGAAGGGAGAAACCAGATGGGAAAGATAGGTGCAGAGAGAGGTCTCGGGAAGAGGATTCAAGTAAATTAATTAACCGATGTTTACGGTGGTCTAGAAGGGATAGGAGAAATGAACAAGCATGGCCAGTGTCAGGCACTCTGACCAGGCGAGACGAGACATTGGCGACAACCCAACAGTCGCAATGCGAGCGTGTTAAACCTCTGAACGTCATGAGTTGATGTCCTCGTTTGCGAAGAGAAAGGGCTTTCAGGTGAAGACTGCAGCCTTCGATGGTTGATGCGGGACATAGTGTTCGCACAAATAATGCATGCCACGTGTTATCTCTGATGCGGTGAGCGGCGGCGGCGGCTCTGTGAGAAAAGTCAGTCGGAGCTGCAACGCACCGTCATAAGCAGAAGTCTGTCGAACAGACTCTCGGCTCGGTTGTTGTTATCCTCTACGCTCCAGTCTGTCCGTCGAACAGACTCTCGGCGGTAGACAGTTGTGTGCCGAGACAGGTGCGGCGGCAGCCGTGGGCAGCCGTGGGGAATGTGAACTGAATGAGCTCAGTTGGAGGCGATGGGTTTGCACGGAGAATGAAGATTCGGAGGGCAGCAGGTCCGCGCGGAGGATGCTACTGAGCGGCGCGGTGTGAAACCGGCTGCAAATGGGTGGGATTGACGTCAGAAGAGCGTGGGAAAATGTCGCGGGCGTCCATAGGGAGTGGCAGGCAGAGACTTGGTTAGCGGTGGGACATGGACCGGCCGGATACGGCCGTTTGGCTGGGGATGGACTTCGAGGGTAGGACGGAACGTCGACAGCGGGGAACGGGTGCCCGCGACTTCAAGTCTGTACTGACCGCTAGGTGACGGCATGAAACGGAATGCGTCGTGAATGCCTAATATGGAATTGGGGGAGCGATTCTGTATGTGTGTAGGTAATGGTTTGATTGCTTACGCGAGAGGGGCAAGCAGGGTGAACATGCCCTGCAATATAGGTAAATTACCGTATGTGAAAATATAATTCGATCACTGCCTTTGTGACCCCCGCTCGAGTTATAGCTTGTAATTCTCTTGTTAGGAGCATTGTCACGTGTAGGGAACAGGTTCTTGGTTGTTCCTCACAGCTGTCAATTCGACATACTGTATTACTACGTGGACGGTTGAGTCGGCCTTTGTTATGTTCCTCCTTTCGATCATAAGTACATCGGTCAGGGTGTTAGCTTGTCGGATTTGTCGCCGCCGTCGCCCGCCTCTTGCTTGCTCTCACGTGGTGTAGGAGGATTCGCTTCCTGCGAGGATCTGCCGGGATTGGACCGAGCAAAACGAACAAGAAAGAAGCGCTAGCAAGTCGCACCGTATGAATCCTTTTTTTTTTGTTTTTGGCACCGCTGAGAAGCTGTATTGGCGGATGGTTCAGAGTCGTTTGTCATGTTCACTTGTTGATCTCGTATCTTCCTGTCAACAGATCGAAATGCGTCGTCCTGTGTTTCTTTCTGTACTAGCGAGGGAGGTGGGGATGAACATGGAGGAAGTCAGTAAGTGAGTTGCGTGCCTCCCCTTGCGGTTCGTTGTCCGGTTTGCTCTTGCCTCATCGCAGCGCCGAGTCGATTCGCCTTTCACGCAGGTGATCCGTCAGCAGATGCATCAAGTTGTTACAATCAGAAATCAGATTCTTCAGCTTCTTTTGATTCGTCCATTGGTTATTGTCATGGCACCCATGGCGACCATCGCAAGTGGTGCACATTGCAGGGGCGAAAGTCCATCAACCATGAACTGACTAGCATGGCAACGTCAGTAAGTCATCGTGATAAGTAGTCTTAGTGATTAGTAGTTCTGCGTCGTTCCTCATTTCCCCCCCCCCCCCCCCCCTCCCTCCCCCCTCTCTTTCTCTTTCTCCTGTTCCTTTTAGGTTGCGGTGGCCGTGCAAGAAAAGAAGTGCTAGCAAGTAGCTCGCGAAAGGCTTCGAATAGCAGCACGAATGATTATTAGATCGTGAATATCATCAGGACGAATGAGTGTTGGATTACCCGATGAAAGGAAGTCACTGGAAGTGGTTGGGAAAAAAGAAAGGAGAGTAAAAATGGTTGGGATGGAGGCGAGGAAGGAATAACTGGTATCGCTTTCGTTGGGATTGCGGGCAATAGGGATAGTTTGCAGAGATTGTGAACAGCAAATGCACGAGCGTAAGGGAAAAAAAAGAGGGGGAGGAAGAGAAAGGAAATGGGATAATGGAAGCCGAGGTCCTTTGCAAAATCTCACGAAATCGGAATGTTGCAGGGATAAAAAAGAGGAGAGTGGGATGATAAACGAGAGAAAAAAGGGAATCCGTGGTCCTTGTGGAGAGTCTTTGAAATCGGTGTTGCAGAGAGCCGAGCGCACCCACTGCGCATCGACGACACTAATCGGGAAACAGAGTCCAAATTATGAGAAAAGAAAAGACAAGATAAAAGGAAGAAGCACGAAGGTGAGGGAGAAAGAAAAAGGAGGAAGGGTAACAGAGAAAGGGAGAGAGGGGAGAGGGAAGAAAACATGTGTGAGGGAGAAAGAAAAAGGAGGAAGGATAACAGAGAAAGGGAGAGAGGGGAGACGGAAGAAAGCAGGTGTGAGGGAGACAGAAAAAGGAGGAAGATAACAAAGAAAGGGAGAGAGGTAAGACAGAAGAAAGCAGGTGTGGAAAGGGAGAGAGGAGACGGAAGAAAACAGGTGAGACTTGAAGGGTGTGAGGGAGACAGGAGGAGGAAGGATAACAGAGAAAGGGAGAGAGGGGAGAGGGAAGAAAACAGTTGTTTGAGAATTGAAAGACGATATATTTCGAGGAGCGAAGGAAGAAGAAAGTACATGGAAGAAGTTATAGTTTGTAGGGACGCAGGCAACAAAATATGAAGAACGGACGTCAGTCTGGGAGGGGGAAAATAAGAAAGGGCCACTTGACGTGGGAAGTATTGAGGGGGGTGCTGAAGAGCAGGGTGTGCGTCTGACGATGTAATAGTCTTGTATGGTTAATTTGAAACGCATAGGACTGCAACAGAAACAGGAAAGCGCGGTTTTAAAGTCTCGCTGTGGGTTGATAGTATCGCCTCTCTCGTCTACATAGAGCGGGTTTCCACTGAGTTCTCCGGGATCCTTGGGAGCGAAGCCTGGGTTCGCAGAGCGGGTTTTTCCTCTCGAGTTAGCCGGGGTCCGAGGTAATAAACGAGCTCAAAACGGTGAAGGCATAAATTACAAGGTGAAGTTAGCGCCGTGGTAACCCATTAGCGAAGTATTCTACCACTCCGTTCAGGATTTCGATCACGTGTGGCCTCGAGTGACGCAGTACGGCTGTCGAATGCATCGGATCTCGACGGCCTGGTAGTTTCTGAGCGGGGACTGCAAAGATGCCAAAAGAAAAACGGACTTGGACATGATAGCTCGTGGCTTTGCGTGGGCGGGAAGTCTGGATTTTATGGACCCGAAAGGCGGGGGGCTGATTTCCAGACTTCCTTTTTTTTTTGTTTTGGCTCTGAGAAATCGAACTTGAAATGTGAATTCAAATATTGTGGTGGATGCGACAGGAACGCCTCCGCGTCTGTTGGATGGCCTGTTAGAGGCCTCATGAGATACATGGTGATGAATGTATCCCCATTCCCGTTACTTGTTCATCCTCGTGGCTGTGTTCGTGGAGAAATTTTATTGCCATGGTACATCACTATGAAGACTTACGTGAAGGAGATCGCACCAACCCATGAATTTGGGTGCACAGCTGTTCTTCTTTGTTTTATGTGCCATTTCAATTCATTTTAAATCAGAAAACGATCGATTCATGAAAATAAAAAATCACTTGCTCTTTTCCAAAAAGCCATAAAATTGCGTCACACATCGTAGAATACTTCGCTAGTGGGTCCAGGCTCCTGGGGCCACGGGTTTCCACTGTTTTTTTTTCCCCTTTTTTTTTTTGAAAAAGGAGGACGACCTTGAGATATTGACCAACCCAGGTAGGAATTCATTCAGCTAGCTCGATCTGGATTGGAGCTTACGGGTGTATTTCAAGAGTTCATGGGTGTACCAACTGAGCCAGGCCGGTGGTTCCACTGTGTTTTCCGGGTGTACCCACTGTGTTTTCCGGGAGCTTACGGCTGTATTTCAAGAGTTCATGGGAGCTTACGGCTTGGGAGCGAAGAGTGGGACCGTGGGTCTCCACTGTGTTGTCTGGGATCCTTGGGAGCGAATTGTGTCTACCGGCGGGATTTTTGTCCTTGTGATTCTGTGACATATCACTGTTGGACTGTCGTTTATGCGCTATCCCGTGTTGTAGCAGATCATTTGCTAGTCATTTGAATATGCTGCAGAAGTTTTCTCAGAATGAATGAATGTGTCCTGCCTGGGTCGGGCCTGACTGAAATACTGTCAAGGAGGCTAGTGCTTTTTTTTTTCTTTTTTTTTTCCGGAACCGCTGCCGTCCTCCGCATTGCAAAGCCATACCGGGCTACAGCCCCCCGGGCGCTTCGTGGCAAAAGTCACTGATTGCCATGTTCGATCACTCAGGGGGTGCCGTTGGTTTAAAGGAGGGGAATGATCTGTTGGGACGCTTGAGCAGGGCTAGAAATCCCTGGTAACCCCAACGAAGTGACTCTCCCCCTCTTTCCTAGACTCCCAGCTAACCCCTTTCGTTTGCTCTGTGATTTAGCTAACCTTCTCCTAAGACTATGTTCAAGATTTGAGCTCCCAGTGTCTGAGTGGGGGACCTTGCTCCATAGGAAGAAGGAAGGATGAGCATCAATGATCTTATGAATGCCTAGTCTAAATGTAAGACGGTGTGCAATTTCTCCCAATAAAGAGAATGCACTCCGGATCTGTCTTATACCCGTGACTCAGATACCTGGTGGTCAAACCCTATGGGTGTTTCCTACGTTTTCAGCTCCTCGATTCCTAACGCAGAACCGGCTATCTTATCGACTTCCCCTTTGGCACCCCGGTCTTTTGGCATCCTGTAAAGGTCCCTGGTCTGCGAAACCTGGCCCTGCGTACTCTAAATCTCACTAGTTTGTGTACGCCTCTTGGCGCACAGCTCCCTTGTCAGCGGTTATTCGAACTTGTTTATTTAGGGCGACTCGGACGGATGTGATTCGTTATAACTTCTGAAGGCGTTGTTATGCGATTGTAACGTCTTGGCATTTTGTCACTGTCTCTTTTCTTCTTGCATTTATGTGGTGCAGGCAAGATCGAGCAAAGGCCGTTGATATTCTCGTTAAGGATCTCAAGGTGTTTGCTCAGTTCAACGAGGATCTGTACAAGGAGATCACTCAACTCTTGACTTTGGACAATTTCAGGTAGAGGCTGCCTTTCTGAGCTCAATCTCTTCCTGTCATTCCTTACCCTTTGGACTCTGTGGAAAGTTTTCCAAAGTTCGTACAAATGGGTTTCTAGTGCTTCGTGCTATGTTTGTCTACGGCTTGGTGCTTGTGGCCATATTCTGCCCTTCTGTTATCTGTTTTACTACAAGCTCTCCCCCTCAGTGCTCTGCGATCTTCAAATAACAGAGAAGGAATGCCCTCTCGCTCATACTGTCTGTTGCTTGTTGTTCTCACGTCTCCTCCATAACGTTTTCCCCTTTTGTTCGGTGTCTGAACCGTGATTTTGCATGTGGCTTGTCTGCGTTCTGACATCATCTCCCTTTTTGTCCCGTCATGGTGGTCTCAATCACGCCCCGAGCGTCCAATGCTCTTCTCTCTGACATACGATGCACATCCCCTTTCTTTTGTCTCTGTTCCGCTGTCTCTTTCTTCCGACTACACCCCATCATGCCTTTGACAGGGAAAATGAGCAGCTTTCAAAGTATGGGGATACGAAGTCTGCAAGAAATATCATGCTTATGGAGCTCAAGAAGCTGATTGAGGCAAATCCATTATTTCGAGACAAATTGACCTTTCCTTCTCTCAAGCCATCTCGCTTGCGCACGTTGATCAACCAGAGGTGTGTATCCTTTGCTGCTGCCCGATACTGCCATGTGGTTGCAAATAAAAAGGCCTCTTTTTTTTTGTCGCCTTTTTGAAAAAGGGGACAGCCTTAAGATACTATCATTTAATTGACCTGCCCCAGGTAATTCCGAATTATCTGATTCTGTTCATCCGGTGGCATCTGGATTCGAACTCGAGTCTATATTCCGGCAGTTCATGGGTGTACCAACTGAGCTGGGTTTTTCTTTGTTGGTGTATCTCAGATCCATGAAGTGCACAAAACATGATTTGATCATGTGAATTACCTGATGAGCCTGAAGAACCGAGGACAGTCTGTGCCTTATGTTTTTTGATTTGCTTTGTTTTCTTTTGACAGAGCAGGTATGGGGATCAAAGACAGGCATATTTTTGCGCCGGAAACCAGTCTAGTCTTTTATCCTACCTGTTAAACCACCAGTACATGAGGCGGAATACCCCTTGTGTGTCAAGCTTTGCGGAAATGCCATCGCGCTGTTTTTGTTTACGTTGTGGCTGATGCCGCCAGCCATTTCGATCTAGTTGTCATGGGCCTCCAGGTGTCATGGAGAGAGCCTCTGTTTTTCCTAAAGTTGCTTGGGGCCTTCGTACTGGGTGGGGTGCTTCTGCCCTCTTCTTCCCCCCTGAGCTGGGTGCAAGGCTCCCAGCCTGGTGGCAACCCAGAAATCAATCATGTGGGTTAAACCACGGGTAGCTGGGGCCTCAAAGACAACTGCAATTATGACTGTATCTGGCCTCCCCATGGGACCGGGTTCGGGGTGTGCCCAGAAATGGTGGTTGGTGGAAAACAGTCCAGGCCACTGGTGTTTTAAGGTTGAGTCTGCAGCCTTTTTTTTTAAGTGAATTGTTTGCTGGAATCCAGAAACAATGCGCACGAGAGGACGTCTCATGATGAGAAAGAACCATGGCTGCTGTTTGCAGAGAAGGGTTCAAAAGCAATTGAACTCGCATGTTGGTTAACGGATCCTGTTTTCTGATGCCCTGTTTGATTGCAGCCTGAATTGGCAGCACCAACTCTGCAAGAATCCAAGGCAGAACCCAGACATAAAGACACTGTTCGTTGACCATTGCTGTGGTCCCCCTCCAAATGGAGCACGAGCAGGCCCTCCAACCCCAAACGCGTTGATGTCAACTGGTGGTCAAAAGCAGGCGTCCTTCCCAATGTCAGCCCATGGCGTAAGTCATCTACTCTTGCTGTGATACTGTGTACAGTTGCAATGTGCTTGTGGCCCACACGGAGTGCAAAAGGTGGTCCCAATGAACTGTGTGCACGATAATATTGTTAGCCACCATGTAAGCCACCTGTTCTGCTTCCCCATCAAGTATGATGAAATATTATCAGACCATTCTTTTTTTGTGCATGAAAGATGGTAAAAAGAGCTGGTTTGATGAACTTGGTTATTTGTGATTCAAAATGTTGCTGAAGGTGTGCTCTGCAATTTCGAGCTGCTGTATGCAGTCAGGTTGTGATGTTCGCTAGTTCCTCCGTTGTCTGATCAAACCACTGATGCAGCCAGGGAATGTGATGTTCGCTAGCTCTTCCGTGTCCCCTGATGCAGCCAGGCTGTGAGAGCTAACGGGTGCTAAGCAGGATGGGCTGGAAAAGAGGAAGCTGGTGTGTTTGGTGGTGCCATGAGCATGTCTCTTGAGAAATGTTGTGATTTGCACTTCCTGGGGGAAGAGTACGTGAATTGTTGATTGTATTGCTGTGGAATATGAAATATTGAATTTGAAAGGTCGGAAGCTCAATGGAAGGCAGGTGGAGTGGAGGGGCTCTGTTCGCTTTATCGTCTCTTTGTCATCTTTTTGTGCTTAGGCCAAATATCTGCAAAGATTACTGTTCTGTAGAGTTTGAGTCCTGCATGTTCTTAGCAAGCTGCGGATGGAGGTTGGGGCACTCCTAGGGTCACAGTTGAAGGTTGATTGCAAGGAGCTACTTCATGCCACACTCGGCCTGTTGCATGAAGCTGTAGCCTATGGCTAAGGTGCACCTGCCTGTTATTTTTCAGATATGTTGAAGAAGCCCATGGTTCTGAAGTCGCTAATGAAATACTTGACGAAAGGGGGGAAGTTTGTCATGGATCCAGTTGCTTGTTGAAGGTGATGACAACAATCATCCAGTTTCTCGTCTTGTGTGACCACGGATCCTGATAAAAAATTGTCGATAGACAAATGTGAAGCCTCTGTTCGCATGTTTATCTCGAATGTAGCTGTTGTGGCTGGATCTAGATGTACTCTTGCTGATTTGCTTGGCCAACAGCAGAGCCTCCGGATTCTTTGGATGTCTGTGTCTCGCCTGAAGTTCAGAAAAATAACAGTCGCGATCTACCCAAAACTGGTTGTGCTGTGACATAATATAAGCGCCCAATGGCCAGGAATCGGTTCATCTTACCCTTGACATGATATAAGCGTCCGTATTTTGTGTTTTGCTGTGAACAAAGGTGAAAGATCACCCCTTTTCCACTGTCATTGCCATTTGATGTTGAACTTGAAGGTGTGCTGCTGAGGGGAGACTCTCTTGGGCCTTGAGCTTAGGTGTAGAAAGGCAGCAATCTATATTCTTTTACCCATATTCCTTTCCTTGGTGTCATCACCCCTTTGTCTTTGTGAGGAGCCGTTATGGTCCCATTGTCCAGTAACATATTCTTTGTGTGACTTATCCTTACAGTGCCCGTGAACAATGAGTGTTATTCATTGTAGTATATGTGTTAGGCGTAAAACATCTGACGGTGCTCTTCTTTGGCTTCTTGGTCTGTGTCACGCTTACAGCCATTCCAACCTGCAGCATCTGCCAGCACCATCGTGGGATGGATGACCAATACTCCGGCGCATTCAGCAGTAGGGCCTCCTCCGGCTCTTGCTGCGCCTCCCAATCCTGGTACGTAGAGCTCTTCTATCTACAGGGATCCCGCTATCACATCAGTTGCTGGAATGAAGCAGTGGGCTTATGTCTCCAACCTTCTCCATGACTGCTGTTTCTCAGTTCAATCTAGTAGCAGTGCGCAATTTTCCTTTGCGTGATTTGCCTTTCCTTGATTTCCGAGCATTGGTTCGGCTTTCTCTGATGTTCGACTGTGTTCCATGTGTTTTGGCTGGATGCTTGTCAATTGCAGCATTGGTGAACCGAAGACCGATGACTCCTCCCAGCAGCACGACAACTATGGACTACCAGACGGCAGAGTCGGATCATGCTAGAAAGAGATCGAGATCTGGAAGCCAAGAAGATGTGAGTCTTAGTCCACTGCACTCTTTCCCCCTTCCTTCCCCTGATTCTCTGCCATCAGAGTATGGTACTTAGGGTCTAAGTGTAACCACTGAATTTCGTTGGGGATCCAAGCAGGAGCTTCCTCTTCTCAGAGGTCTCTTTTGGCTGTTTGGATGATCGTCTCCGCTACCTGTGATGTTTCTGATGTTGATATGTTTCAATCTGTCTCTATTCGACTCGATAGTAGTTATTAGAGGAAGCAAGCAACTCCTTCCCCATACATGGGTGATTGCTCAGCATCTCTTCCTCTGTCCGTTTGGTCGTCTTAAAGAATATGCACACTTGAACTTTCCTTAGGATGAATCTGACCATTATTGCAATCAGGTAAGGGCAGCTGTTAGAATGCCCTTAGGCTGTTTTCTTAGGAACCAGTGCTTTCTTAGTATCCTTGCCACTGTAAATGAAGAATTGCCAGGTTCGTTGTACCAAGCAAAGGGCACCGTTCTTTCTACCATTTGGTGTGCCTCCTGAAGAACTCTGTTTGCGAACTCAGTGTCAGCCGTTCTTTGGGGCTTTGTTTTTGTTTTGCCGCTTTCATTCTTTCTGCACGTTCCTCTTTTTCCTATTGTTTTCCGAAACCTCCTCAAAGCCTCCAACATCCCAGGAAAGAATTCTGACGTGAAGGGTGGTAACCTGGCCGACTCCTGCAACAGGTAGGTATCCAATGGCTTAGGTATCCTATTGTTCTTACTTTCAAGCCACAAGGTTTTGTGTTGGATTCTGTATTGCATCCGTTTTCATGGAGGACTGCTGGAATTGATGGGAGCAGAAAAGGAGCTCGCAAAGTACTTCAAACCTAGGAAGATTTTCATGACCGGCCGGTCACCCAGGCATGATGCCCGGGGGGGTCTGACGCCTGGGATACCCAGGCATGGGGAAAAAAAATAGAAAAAAATAAAAGTAAAATAATTTGGCGGTGGGGGTTTTCTGAGCTCTTGGAGAGGAGCCCAGATCCGGGCTCTTTTCTTTTCGAGTGTTGGCTTTAAAGGGGGGGTGAGGGGGGTATTATATTTTTTTAAAAGGGCTAAAGGGGTTTGCTTAAAGGGGGGTGCCTTGGTCTGATTCGGTTATTTTCTTTTTTTAATCTTCAGTTACGTGAGGAATTCTGATGTGACCCTCGGCCAAAAGCTGTTTGTATTGCAATTTTACACAACATATTTTTTCTTTTCCAGATTTTTTTGGATTTTTTTTTTTTTTTGGCGCTGGGGCAGCCCGGGACCCTGCCCTGGGGGTCATGCCCGGCCGGTCACTCAGGCGTGTTTCCGGGGACGACTTGGGTCCCCGGGTGCCCGGGAAAACCAAATATTCTGAGCTAAAGAAACATCAGGAGGCACCAGGTCCAGAGGTAGGATGTTTTGAGGTAGGATGTTTTCCAAAGGTATTCTGGACTACCAGTCTTGGGGAGGGCGCGGCCACACCTGAGCTATGTTGTTAAAGTATGCTTATTGTAAACTGTTATGACAAAGCGGCCTTGTTATTTATGTCAAGGATAAGGGAATTACTTGCAAAGGGCGTGATCCCTCAAGAGCTATGTTGTTAACATAAGATTCTTGCCGAATTCTGTGAAAGGTGCTTTTGTTATTGATATCAAGGATAACATAAGATTCTTGCTGAATTCTGTGAAATGTGCTTTTGTTATTGATATCAAGGATACAGGCATTATTGCGGTATGTGGTGAAATGATGTGGAGAGTGGTTTTGATGAATGCTTTTTCGATTAAATAAAGTGAGCGCGGTTGACCAAGCGGCGTGGTTACTTTGTGGGCTGCTGTTTTGATGCATGGGCTAGGCCATGGTCGCAAGTGCAAGCCATCAGAGTTCATCATACACAGTCGATGATCTTCCCAAAAAGGTTGTGAGGGCACTGCCACAGGGTTCTGCAGTTATGAGCATGGACTTCCACCCTCAAATGCACACACTTCTGCTAGGTACGTTCAATGTCGCACTGTACTTGCACACCCACGCTCGTGCGTCTTGGTGTATGGGTGTGCATGTGTGTTTGTCCTGTCTCCTTTTCTTTGCTTTTTGTGTGTGTGTATAGTGTGTTGAAATGGAGAGGTAGAGAGGTGGGAGGGAGTCGTGTGAAGGTAGTTCCACATGTTTGCCTAGGCACGGATGGAGGTGAAGGTTACTGGGGTCCATATTTATTTTTCAGTAAAGTGCCGGCTTTATAGCCCTGGCTCTGCTCTATTCTGAGGAGCATCAGTCTGTTTACTTTCCACCGGCAAGTCATAAAAATACATGTAATAGATAACTCTTTATGCTTCCCTCGTTTGAGGTTGATGGACCCATCTGCTCAGCATTGGCTGCTCCCATCGGGAAGATTGACTGTCAGATCTAGCCTGTTGAATCCCATCTTCCTACTGGACCTGTCCTCATAATACAAATTACTCTCTGAAGACTCTCTATATGCCAATATTGGATCCTCCTTTTTGTGAGGGTTCAATGAGTTGTGCCAGTCCTTCCAGTGCTGGTGTTGCTCCTCAATCGAGGGAATTTTGCCCCTTATCAACCAGTTACGCCAAAATTTTGACTTGAGACGAGTTCTTCTTCCGGTCTTCATTGCATTAGTGCCCTCCACTTTCTCCATTACTTCGGCTTCTATCAGCTCTCTTGTGGACACCCGAATTTTGTTGCTGTTGTTGCGTGTACCATTCAGGGCGATACTGTACCTTTCTTTCCAGATTACCCACAGTGTTGCGTTCAAGATAAGTCCACACCACAACCTTTCGGGCTTTAGTAAAATGGGAGGGGTTGTTAGTTCAAAGGGGGAGCTGGAAGGGTTGCTCAGGGAATGAGGACAGGAATCGGCAGGTCCATAGGTTACTTGCCCGAGCCCAGTGCTCAGTTGCTTCCTCGGGATAGATTGGACAGTGAAGGATGCCTTTTGGTTCCTGGCTTGGGAGAATGCTTTGACAGTGGTTTCTGTTGTGGTTGGTTTTCTGCAGTTGGGACTCAGACTGGTGATGTGGCAGTCTGGGACGTGGGACATAATGAAAAAATGTCTGAGAGACGTTTCAAGATCTGGGATATACAATCATGCTCAATCTCGCAGGTAAAAATTCCAGTGTGGTCTCTCTTCACTGTGGGACACTTGGCAAATAATCATTTTCAGAAGCAATCTTCTCTTTTCCTGAATGGTTTTTCTATCTTGCTGTCGCCTTTCACGCTCTTTGTGGCTTTGTTTTATAGAAGATGATGCAACGGTGTGCTTGTATTAGCACTTGGCAGTGGTGTTGGGACTTGCCACTTCATTAGTTCGTGGCAGAAACCATTAGTTTCTCCCTGACTCTGTCCATGCAGTAGTTACCAATGTCTCTTGCTGAAGATTGTCTTGTTGAGCATCTGCTCAGTTTATACGAAAGCCCTGTATACAGTACGCAGTGTGAAATGTTTTCTGGCAGCATGCAATGTGGAAGTGGTTTGTTCAGACTGAATGATGGGGAGAGGTTTCTTGTCTCTTGTTTTTACCGGTGTGCTCAGCTGTAGCCTGTGGACAACCTTGTTTACAAATGGTTGTCTGGCGCTTGTCCTTCCTATTTGTTTGAGATGGAACAGAGTGCCCTTGTAGCACAGGATCACAAGATTCAGGTGACGAGGGTGGCATGGAGTTCTGATGCTGTGTATTCAGGTAGGTAGCTGCCATTTTGATGTTTTGATATTACAGTGCCTTTTTCAGCGGCATCTGAATGTGTGTGTCTGTTTGTGTGTGGGGGCTTTTTGATCAATGGTAGTGGTGCGAGGTGTTGAAGTAGCGGTTTTCTTTCTTGCTTGCTTGGTTTTCCAGCAGAGTTGTGTTGCAGGTGGTTGGCACGCCCTCGATGGGTAGGAGCTGACCAGCTAACGAGTCCACTGGCCAGCAGCTGATGGTTGGTGGGGTTGGCTCTCCCTAGAGATGCACCTCCCATCTGTCTTTTTCTTCTTATTCTCTCCCCCTAGAGATGCACCTCCCATCTGTCTTCTTCGGATGCACCTCCCATCTGTCTTTTTCTTCTTATCCTCTCCCCCTAGAGATGCACCTCCCATCTGTCTTCTTCTTCTTCTTCACTTTGTCCATTTGTCGAATGTGCCACAAGCAGAACAGCCCCTCCCCCTTCCCTCGTCTTCGTCACTCATCTTTTATCTTCTTCTTCTTCTGAGTGGGGTGCCTTGGTGTGTTTCTTTGCTTCCCTGTTCTTACAAACACCATAGCCCCAAGCCCTAATCTTACAAGTATCATAACTAACCTGCCTCACCCTTCCACCTTGTATGATGATCAGGGCTTGAATGTATTTTTGGGCGTTTTCAGCCATGGGAATTGAAGTCGATTTCATAGAAGTTGAGAAGTGGTCATCTGCCAGAGGAAACAGCCAGTCTTTGAACCACTGATTTGATTGGGCACAGCTTGTCAGCCCTTAATCTGGGGTTTGGAGTTGTCCATCAGTTGTCTTTCGACCTATCCTCTGCTAGTTATTGGTCGTGGCTCTTTTCAAATAGGTTTTACTTTCGCAGAAACGAATATCAGGAAGCAGTGAAGGATGGCAACATATCATGAGCTGATGATCACTCTACAGTATTGTGTTGATGCAAATTGTTGCCGAGTCTTTGAACCACCAGGGACTAAGATGAAAGATGAACAATTCAGTTGATTGTACAACATATTCATGACAAAAGTGTCCTACAAAACCACGAAGTGAAAGAAAAATGAGTCGGTATGTAGAGACAGGAAGGGAAAATGAAGAGAGAGCGTATTGGAAATGTCAGAGATGGAGTGTGCTCAATGGTGGTTATATTGTGTATGTTGGATATGGAACAAGAATTTGCCTCAAGTAGTCCAAGCTATGAGAAGTAAGAGTTAGTGCACAGTATGGATGACGTAGTATAAGCTTATGAGAAGTAAGAGTGAGTGCACACTGTGGATTAAATAGTCCAAACTATGAGAAGTATGAGCTTCACCTTCGAGTCAGAGAGTTTTGACTTGGATGTAAGGGCTACAACTTAAAGAGTGCACAGTATGCGAAGTAGATTTTGGTCCTTGGATGTGGAGTGAGAAAGATGAGGTTTGAAATCGAGCGAGAAACATGAGACATGAGATCCAAAGGAAGTGGATCCATTGAAACAGTCTGAAGATGGAATGGTGGTAATTGGCAGACCGGATATAAGCTGGACAAACAAAGCTAATCTATCCAGTGTTGCTTCTGAATTGGAGGATGCGATCTATAGAGTTATCACAAACAAAATGCTGTGAAAAATTTGTTATGCAGATGTGTATCTGCAGCGTTGTGTACCTGTTGCGTGCGTAGTGTGCCTGCCAGTTGCTGCTGTAGGGTGCTGCTCTGCTCTACGTGTGACTGATATGAATGCACTAAAACGGACGGGCATGCGACAATGACAAGAGTCTTGCCACAGTTACCTTTTTGAACTTGTGTGAGATACCTGTGAGTATGTGCATGTGTTCTCGCTGCTAATACAGTACAATGTTGATAACTGCAGGAGCCGCTTTTTCACAGCACTTGGTCCATATCTACAAGTGTGGAGCAGAACTTGTTCACCATTTGGAGGTAGGGCACAACAATTTCTTGGTCGACGGTCATGCTTTTGTGGTAGGGGTGACTGCGGTGATGAGACCTCCTGTTTGGTGAAACTGGAACAATAAGACAGCTGTCTGAGAAAAAAATTGTTTTGAATATTTGTTTCCTCAGTTTGATTGCTCTGTGTTGCAGGTGATAGTTGGTATCTGGCGGATGTCTTTTAGCAAGTATTCGTGGCTAATTGTGAATGACCGTCCTGTTTCTCTCCCTGATAATTGTTATACAGATTGTGACAAAATAAACTCATATGAGGTTCTCTTGTTTTCTTGTCAACGCTATATCAGTGCTCATCAATGCTCAATCAAGGGAGGATTGGGTTAGGTTGATCTGTGATGGAGGATATTGGTCCATCTTTTGCGAACTGCTTTTTTAGTAAAATCCATTAACCCTCCACTACCTTTCCCAGGCAAAGTCGAGAATAAAAAATGTGACATTCCGAAGATTTCGGATTGACAGTGCTAGCGGACCAAAATGGGTGGCGTCACTGGCCAAAAACGGGGAAAAAAAAATTCCGCCGTGGTGGTGCCTTTTTGGTTTTGGTGCAGGGGGAACCTGCCTTGGCAAAAAGAGGCTTGGAGGTAAGTGGTGGTGAAAAGAAACCGGACGATTTGCGGATATGCGAGGAGAAAAGATGGTGTCCAGAACTGCCGGTCTTTAGTATCTCGTGATTCTCGTCAACAAGGAAATTCACAGTGGCGTCATCTGTTTTCCTGTTGTTTACCAGATTGATGCTCATGTCGGAGGTGTCAATGACCTTGCATTTGCTCACCAAAACAAGCAACTGTGTGTTATCACTTGCGGAGATGACAAGACTATTAAGGTTTGGGATGCTGAAACGGGCCAACGGAAGTTCATATTTGAAGGCCATGAGGCACCTGTGTATTCCATTTGCCCTCACCACAAAGAGAACATACAGGTGCGTTACATTCAGCTGAATCCTTTTCAACTCCTCTTTTTAGGGAGCATGCTATCACATTCTGTTTCAGATGTGTTGATTACAGCCTACAGGTATCATAATTTGCCTTTTGCATTTTCGGACATTGCTGGGTTTGGTTCATCATTTTGTGTCCTTGTTTCATATGTGCCATAACATTTCAGGCCTGCTTGGGTTCAAGTTTTGCGCAGCGGTTGTAGCGGGACAGGAAGACTTGTAACTTATAAGAGAACATCAGAGGAGCAAAACACAAAATGAAAGTGGAGGTTAATCAAACTCCAACCAAGAAACACCAACCAAAAAACGTTGCGTAATGCCAGTCTGTCGGTTGTAGTGCAGGCATTAGACAATATACAGAGAGGTCAATGGTTCTGGGCTGTGACATCTTGTCTTCCCATGAAAAGATTGTGTAATGTTGGTGGTGGTCTGCTGGACTTTCAAAAAGCCGAGAAAGTCCTTCAGTCCGAGAGGTTTGCTCTGGAAGAAGGCTAGGAAAATTTCAGGAATGAAATGGCTAGGACTTGTAGAGAGAGGAAGGAGATGGTGACGGGCGTGCTGAGCAAGCAGGCATGCGCCGGGGAGGAGATCGGTGGGAGGGAATGAAGCCAAAGAGAACGAAGGGGAGAAACAAGTTGTTGGAGGTGGTCGTTGATGAACGGCATGGTATTGATTGATGATGTTAAGCTGTTATTTGTGTGGGATGGGCATTGCAAAGCTGATGATCTTGAGCCTGGCCATGATGATGATTGTGAGGCGGTTTGGTGGGAAGGCAGAAGAGGATGCAGACAATGAGATGGAGCAGGAAAGTGATGATGACAACGATTGTCAAAGTCCTCGGCGTGATGGTATTGATGAAGATGATTGTGCTACACTTGTGAGAGTCGTTTGAAAGAAATCATGGTGATTATGTGCAGGACGACTATTGAGATGAGGAGAAAGGATGAGCATGATGTCTGCTTTCCTAGCCCTTCATTCATAGCATGTTGCTCGCTGCTCTCCTGGCTTCAGAATCAAAGGGCTGTGTTTCCAAGCAAAGATGATACAAGGCCACTGTTTGTTCACTTCTTTACCCTGTTCTTTGTACCTTTGCAGTTCATTTTTTCAACAGCCATAGATGGTAAAATCAAGGCATGGCTATATGATAACCTTGGCCCAAGAGTCAACTATGATGCACCTGGTAAATGGTGCACTACAATGGCATACAGTGCCGACGGTACAAGGTATGATTAATGATCTCGTTTTGAGTTCTCAATCACTTTTCCCTCTGATCCATTGTCCTGGAGCTATGTCGCGACTGCTGTGGAGGTCTGCTCGTTGAGCCTGTTCTTTTGTTTAAGCTTCCGGTAAACTGGGAGGGGTGATGGGCAATCCTACTGATTGGTTGGGCTTCGCAGTGGCAGGAAATGAATGTGTCACTTTGTGGAAATAATGGCCAATGCTTTGATGCTGTCCATTTCATGTATGCAAAACTCAAATGCGAGACAGTGTCTAGGAGAAGGAGAAAAGTTGGAATCAATATAATCTCCATGTATATGCACAACATATACATCGCGTGGAATGACACAGTGGACAACGTATGCATTTTAGCACAAATTTACCACACAGGTTTGCTGTAGTGTAAGCTTGTGAATCAAATGAATCCGGATGATGACATGTATCAGTCACGCTGCTGTAAGAATGTTATCCAAGGCATTACCTGATCAAGGGAGACGGTCTCTTCTGTGTATGGGTCTCTTTATTGTAACGCAGCTGGGGAAGGCAGGTAAGGGGCAGTTTATGGTGGTACTGTGGCAGAGAGAGAGAGAGAGAGAGAGAGAGAGAGAGAGAGAGAGAGAGAGATTGCTGTCACTTCATGCAAGTAAGAGGAAACAGCTGCTTTTCAGTTTTTCGCAGGGTTGCACCCACCGACGGTCAGCGGCCCTTGACTGGTCGGCTGCTGACCCGCCAACGGATCGGCTGGTCGGCACCTACCGGTTTGGAGTCGTCAGCACCCTGCAAGAAAATGAAAAAAAAAAAAAACGAAAAAAATAAATAAATAAATATATATATATATATATATATATCGCTCTCGTCCTTCTATTCGCACCATTCATGAACGACCTCCTCACAAACCCTTGGCTAGCACAACGGCTACTTCGTCCTGTCTCAGCACTGCTTTGCAAGGCGTGATCTCTACTCTTCGTGAGAAAGACACTGAGCTCTATCAACAGGAAGGTGTTCGACGGTGCTGGATCGTCCAGAGTGCTGATGAGGTGGCGATTGACCTGAAAAACAATGTGTCCTCTCTACGTGGCCTC